GGTGTTTCGGTTTAAGGAATTGATGTTTTTCCAAAACCGAGTTGTTGGATCTCAAGAATGAATATGGATGAATCAGTTAATTGTCTCTTGGATCTCTTAAACAATGATATGAAAGTGTTATATCTATGAAGCACGATGAAGCAACCACCAATTTTCGTGCAAGACCCTTTGTATTTATAGTTAGAGATATATGAGTAGTATGGGCCGTGTAAAACTCTACAAAAGCGCGAATTAGTTTTGGCCGCACTGGTAGGTCGCTCGAGCGAGGTGTCGGCGAAGCTCAAGCGAAAATGTTATTGCATCGGTCGCTCGAGCGAGCCTCTAGTTAAAGTCGAGCGAGGGTTGAGCAGTCGTCAATATGTTCATCATAACTTTCTGTACAGATGCCCGATTGCAATGATTCAAATTTCTTTAGAAAACTAACTCGAAGGGATACAATTCTTCTAAAAATAGCCATATCCAAATTTCAATGTGTTCTATGTGAAAAATGCGTTGAAAGTGACGACTAAGAATTTGGAACATAACTTGTACGGCTCTTTGATACTCTTTAAACTTCTAATTGCGTTCCCTTTATCATATGCGATCTTCTTGAATATCTTGGATTCCTTCAAGGACTCAAATCCTAACTTACCTAATTTATACAAATTGCATCATAGGTCCTTGACTTTTACAACACGTTACAAATTAGTTTTTTGTCCACAGAATTGCCAACACTAAAAACCTAACAATTTAAAAAGAAAAAGAAAACCAAACTTGAAACGCCATTGCTATACGTAAAATTCATTCCATTTACAGCATCAAAGTTTCCAATGCTAATCCCCTTTCTGGGAACATCAATCATTTACACGATTGATTCTAGTGTCAATGGTATGAACTTTATACTTCCATGCCCATTACACTTTTACAATGAGGTTTCCACAAAAATGTAATAAAAGTAAAATGCATATCCAATTATTTACTTTTAGCATTTCTTGCTGTTAAGATAACGTTCTCGAGAAATTCTTCTATAAAAAATAGAGTAAAAGCAAAAGCTCTACCTAACTATTTCTAAATATCAGTATCAACATTTTTAATAACATGCTACTTGCGTATAGAAATAAAGCAAGTTAATTAAAATATAAATACAAGTAAAGATATTGATACCAACAATTCCAGCATCCAATAAGGGAAGAACAGTTTCTGCATAATTTTATAATCTTTTTATTTAGCTTAATCATCATATCTTTTGTTTTGCTTATTTCCTTATTTAATTGTTTGATATCTTTTGTATCCTATGTAAATCAGTGCAATTGTTTTAGTCATCAGGATTGAGAATAAACAAAACTCCACATATTGCTTTCTATTCATTTTTTTTTTCTTCACACGGATTCAGTATAACAATGCTATTTATCTTCACCAATCTATTTAAAAAATCAATGTCATGATATGTCAGTCCAAAAATAATATGCCAATAAATGTAATCCATTTTACTGCTAATTTTTATTTCAATCAAAGTCCTTAAGTATTTGCTAATTTTCATCTCATATATATCTTTAACCTTCAATTGATTCGAAATTAAAGACAAATATTTTTTGTATTTGTTTTTTGATCTTGTTTAAAAATCATAGGTTGTTAATAAGATGTTTTAGGCAAAAAAATATCTTCGATACGCTAATTAATAAAAGGTTGATGATCATAATGTGACGAAAAAAGGTGGAGAAAGTAAGTGAAAAATTAGCAAAGATTGAGAATTTAATTGCAATAAAAATTATGGTGGGACCCTTGCACAATTATTAAGGTCTACCCGGCAAGTTAACTTCTAGGTCTTGCTGGTGCCGGTTCATTTAATAATTCCATTATTTTTAGGAATATATTTAAATGTCTTAAACGAGTGACCTAACATTTATTTGTTTGTATTTAGAACATGTTATAATGAAAGTTGGTGGCTAAAATTTCAACGTGACGGTTCTCAATTATCGAAGCATGAGGTGTATATTCAACATTCACATTTAACCCATGGTTGATTTGAATAAAAAATTAGGTTTTAATAAAAGTTGTGAAATATGTGAATGAAAAGTTATTTTGAATTCTTAAATTTTTTAAAAAAAAATTGAAAAGTTGATTGATAAACGTGCCGCCAAAATTTGGGATTGAAAAATTAACTTTATTAAGAGGTTTAGGCATTTTATCAATCCTAAAGTGTGATAGAACGGGACTTAATACTCCATTTTAAATTATTAATTTTATTAAGAGTCTATTTGAACACGTAATCATTGATTATTATTTTTATCTGTACGATTTTTATTAAAAGATAAGAAGGAAACTTAGAGTAAGATATGTTGTAAATTGTCAAAATTGTAGAAAGAGAAAATTCATTCAGGACACAGTAGTGAAAGAAAGAAAAGGTCATAAAAGCCAAAATTAGTAGTTGTGAATCTTTGACTTTTAAATGAAAGGTGTGAAAATGAAAATCCTCTTCAAATTTCGATGTCATGTTTGTGACGTCCCATGGTGATTTCATTGTTTTTTTTTTTTCTTTTATCGATAATATTTGGTAGCATAATAATTGTTCTGCTGACATTAGTTGAATTTACTTTTGTACAAAAATATTTTTCGATAAATAATAATTCACTTATTAATAGAAGACGTGAGATGAATATCAAATTTGTGGTATTTCCATTAACGAGGTATAGTTTTCTACATGAATTTTTTTTTTTTTTTATCTTAATTTATTCTTAACTGAAAGTATGTTTCTCAAAACACTATTAAAAGGGTGCTACTTTTTAAAGTTGCTTTAGCTGATTATTTCGATTATGGACGGTTTATTGACTGGCAAGGATTGTGCTAATTGAGAAGGGTTGTGAACCGTCTGATCAAATGGTTGGCTGAGATTCATTATTGAATT